CTTATGAACAGCAATGATAGTGTTTCCTTGGTTACCGCTGTAAACAAAGCAGAGGCGCTTATGAACAGCAATGATACAGTGTTTCCTTGGTTACCGCTGTAAACAAAGCAGCGCTGCGCTTATGAACAGCAATGATACAGTGTTTCCTTGATTACCGCTGTAAACAAAGCAGTGCTGCACTTACGAACAGCAATGATAGCGTTTCCTTGGTTACCGCTGTAAACAAAGCAGTGCTGCGCTGCGCTTATGAACAGCAATGATACAGTGTTTCCTTGGTTACTGCTGTAAACAAAGCAGAGCTGCGTTTATGAACAGCAATGATAAGCAGCGCTGCGCTTATGAACAGCAATGATACAGTGTTTCCTTGCTTGGTTATGTAAACAAAGCAGCGCTGCACTTATGGCAAGATGAAAAGAAAAAATACCATCTAAACTTTTCTAAAGACAGTAAGTTCCCCTCAGACATACATTCATATAAACTCCTAACCCTAACTGAATCGCGATTTATTTACCATCTCAACCGATTTGAATCGTCACATATTTGAATCGATTTTCCACCGGCTCGCGGTTAATCGTTACATCCCTAGAATTAACAAATGTGTACAGAGAGACTTTTGTTGTTGCTGTTATTTTACATCTGGATCCAGTTCTGTCATCAACATGAACAGGGTTAAATTAAATATGCCTACATCAGTTAAAAAAAAAAAAAACTGAAAACGCTCAAACTGTTTGATCTGTTGACAGATGTTTCTAACTGAGGACGATGGGCCTGTCCTGTAGGATTTACTGTTAGATTCTCACACGCTAGATTTCTTCACATGTCCATTTCTGTCACCGATGGAGTTCTGGTTCCTTGCCGCTGTCGCCTCTGGCTTGCTTAGTTGGAGACAATTTTTGGCAACATTGTCAATTTAATTGCACAGAAACTATTTGAACTGAACTGAGCTGGACGATGAGATCACTGAATCAACAATAAACTGACTTTCTTCTATTGTCCTCTTGCATTATTGACACTATTTTGCTGTTTAACACTGTAAAGCCTTTTTGACACGATCTGTATTGTAAAAAAAAAAAGCTATAGAAATTAGGGCTGTGTATCACCAGCAAAGTCACGATACGATACATATCACGATACGGGACTGCACTGAATTTCACCAAAGCAGAATTGAGAAAAACAGCTGTTTATTAAACACTGCATACTATAGGGCCATTTCTAACTATTGGCAGAGCAGGCAGTTGACCTCTGCATTATGAAGGGCCTCCATAACTGTACTACAGTACAATATAGGTAATGGCATATGTTTCATGTTTACATTGTGCACTCCCCACCAGGTACAATATTCTGAGTGTTTGCATCTTGTTTTTAAGCCCATAAATAATAATGTACTAGCTCTAATAAATATATATTGTAATGTACTCATACTAATATATTTTTAAAAAATCATCTTAACATTGCTGGTATGTTATCATTGCACAAATTAACACATTTTCTACATTTAAAAAATAAAAATAATTAGAGTTCTAAACTAATGCGCTGTCTTCTGTATCTCACGCACACACAGAACACGCTGCGCACGCACAGAGACATTCAACAACACAAACTTCTCAGAGCTGCTCCGCAATTTTATCAATAAAATAGCTTAATCGCTCAAGAGCTACATTATCTTTCTCAACAAGGAGCTGGTAGCATCATTGTTTCTAAAGGAATTAAAGCCACAGCTTCACTGTTAATAGAGAAACGCGGCCAAACGGTGGTAATTCATACATACACAGCCTCTCTCTCTTTCTCTCTCTCTCTCTCATAAATGAACACTTGATGAATTACACTTTTCTGAGAATAGACTTGAAGTGGAGATCGCTAAACTGCAAGCTAAAACTAAAACCGGTGTTTTCAGAAAGCAAGCGCGTTTATCCACAGTGGAGATAGTGCACATGGTTGCCAGGTTGACAAAGATAAGTAGCACACTTAGCAGATATTTCCATATTGCACAAGTGTGAAGCTCTGTTTCGAGGATTACGTCTCTTTATATCAGGCAACCCAGTTGTGTTCCTCTGCGGCCAGATTAAACCTTGTTGTAGCCTATATATTATGCTCTATTGATTCTTTTTTAGAAACCTCACGTTTCTACTTAATTTTAAACGTTGTTCTTGTATTCAAATTAAGCGCGGTCCACTGCTGCACACGTGCCACAATATCGATACAGGGCCTGCTGTATCGATACTCGTATCATCAAATCTCTGTGACGATACATCGTTGTATCGATGTATCGAACACAGCCCTAATAGAAATAAAGATGACTTGACTTCTGACAGAGGACAATCACTGGCTTCAGGGTTCTGGTTCCTTTCAAGTTCTTTGAAATAAATCTTTTGTGTCAAACAAATGATCTGATATTTCAACTATAATCATATTTGCTCAGTTCTGTGACGCTCTCGTACCAGAGGCCATCTGTTTACTGACCAGAGCAATCAAGAAATCAGGCAATGAGTCAAATCAGAGATTTTATGATGGAGGAAAATCTCGCATCTCTGGACACTTTTGACCTGAAACAGAAAACATTTGAAATACATATAATTATGTAATATGTGCAGACTGAAATGTTTTTTGTTTTGTTCAAAAACATGTCAATCAAGCTCTTGTTAAAGGAAAATTTAACTTTTTTTACGTTTGAATAATGTCACTCTTAACTGATTAATTTGCGCAGTTAATTTATTCAGCTATTTAATGTTTCAAAAAGAAAAGAAAGACAGATGTTTCACATCAAAGTGGCTAGAATCACGCACATGTACTATTTTATAACTGTATTCTTCAGAACATAATGACATGTCACATGATTTTGTCTCTCCAGAAGGGGGATTTGATTGTGTTGGACATTAACGTGTGTCACAGCATCAGATGATCATGTATGTTTTACAGTTTAATCTTTGGACTCTGATGAGGTAAAAGAGCCTTCGGTGTGTGATGAGGAGATCTCCAGAGGACAGGCGTGTGGATGACAGAAGAATAAACCTGTGAAATGCTGTTTCAAGTTACAGACTAAAAAACATTACATTTTATATAATGTTTTTGTTAGTCTTCACTGTCATTGGCCTCATCCATTCTGGTAAGTTCACTCATGTTCATAGTAAGTTTAATAGAATAACACATTTAATAGAAGAACCACTTTGTAGAAATAGTAAAAGCTTCATTCTTTGTTAATCATGACTGTTTCTCCCTGGCAGTTTCATCCAGGATCTCAGAATCAATTATTGTTTAATTCAGTACAGTGTAGACCAGCGCAAAATTTCAAAGAGTCTGTCAGAATCATAGACTTACACTTATAAATCATTGCTGAACATGTTGAAAATTGTATTTAATAATATTGCTAAACTCTATAACAAAACAGAAGTATTTTATATATAAAATGTGTGTAATTTATATATATATATATATATATATATATATATTATTTTTTTTATTT